TAAAGAAGGCCATTGGTAGCTTGATGGGGATAGCATTGAATCTATAGATTACTTTGGGCAGTATGGCCATTTTCAGAATATTGATTCTTCCTAACCATGAGCATGGAATGTTTCTTCATCTGTTTGTGTCCTCTCTTATTTCATTTAGCCGTTGTTTGTAGTTCCCCTTGAAGGGGTCCTTTACATTCCCTGTTAGTTGTATTCCTAGGTATTCTCTTGGTAGCAATTGTGAGTGGCAGTTCGTTCTTGATGTGGCTCTGTTTAAGTCTGTTATTGGTATATAAAAATGCTTGTGATTTTTGCACGTTGATTTTGTATCCTGAGACTTCGCTGAAGTTGTTTATTAGTTTCAGGAGATTTTGGGCTGAGACAATGGGGTCTTCTAAATATACAATCATGTCGTCTGCAAATAGAAATAATTTGACTTCCCCCTTTCCTATTTGAGTACCCTTTATTTCTTTTTCTTGCCTGATTGCTCTGGCTAGAACTTCCAATACTATATTGAATATGAGTGGTGAGAGAGGGCATCCTTGCCTAGTGTCAGATTTTGGAGGGAATGCTTCCAGCTTTTGCCCATTCATGATGATACTGGCTGTGGGTCTGTCATAAATAGCTTTTATTATTTTGAGATATATTCTGTCAATACCTAGTTTATTGGGAGTTTTGCCTTCTCTGCATCTATGGAGATAATCTTGTGGTTTTTGTCTTTCATTCTGTTTATGTGGTGAATTACATTTATAGACTTGTGTATGTTGAACCAGCCTTGCATCCCAGGAGGAATTTTTTTTTTTTTTTTTTTTTTTTTTTTGAGACAGAGTCTCACTCACCCTCCCAGACTGAAGTGATTCTCCTGTTCAGTCTCACGAGTAACTGGGATTACAGGCACCCACCACTAGACCTGGCTAATTTTTGTATTTTTAGTAGAAACGGGGTTTCACCATGTTGGCCAGGCTGGTCTCCAACTCCTGACCTCAGGTGATCCACCCACCTCGGCCTTCCAAAGTGTTGGGATTACAGGCGTGTGCCACTGCCCCCACCCCATAACCCCAGTTTCTTTTTACCAACTTTGATTACGGAACTTGGCACAACTCCCAGGTTCCTATAGTACAAATTGTACTCCCCAATTATAACTGCCAGTTTGTTTTCATCTAAGAAAAACAAAACAAGACAAAAATTGAAATGCTGGCCGGGTATGGTGGCTGATGCCTGCAATTGCAGCACTTTGAGAGGCTGAGGCGGGCAGATCACTTGAAGTCAGGAGTTTGAGACCAGCCTGACCAACATGGTGAATCCACCTCTCTACTAAAAATACAAAAATGAGTGAGGTGGGGTGGCATGTGCCTGCAGTCCCATCTACTCAGGAGGTGGAGGCAGAAGAATCACTTAACCCAGGAGAGCCCGGCCTGTAGACACCTGACTTTACTCTTCCGGCCTCCCAACTGGGAGACAACAATTTTTTATTTTATTTATTGATTTATTGAGACAGGGTCTCACTCTGTCACCCAGGCTGGAGTGCAGTGGCATGATCTCAGCTCACTGCAGCCTCATTCTCCCTGGCTCAAGCAATCCTCCCATCTCAGCCTCCTGAGTAGCTTGGGAACACAGGTACATGCAACCATGTCTGGAGATATATATATACACACACACACACACACACATACATACATATATATATTTCCCCTGAGATGGATTCGTGCTCTCTTCCCCAGTCTGGAGTAAAGTGGTGCAATGTCAGCTCACTGCAACCTCCACCTTCTGGGTTCAAGCAGTTCTCCTGCCTCAGCCTCCTGAGTAGCTGGGATTACAGATGCGCACCACCACACCCAGCTAATTTTTGTATTTTTAGTAGAGACAGGGTTTCATCATGATTTACCTACCTCAGCCTCCCCAAGTGCTAGGATTACAGGTGTGAGCCACCACTCCCGACCTTGTATTTTTTCAGTAAAGACGGGGTTTCATCCTATTGGCCTGGCTGCTCTCAAACTCCTGGCCTCAAGAGATCTTCTCATGCTCCCAAAGTACAGGGATTACAGACATGAGCCATGGCATCTGGCCTGAGACAACAAATTCGTCTTGTTCTAAGCCACTCAGTTTGTGGCACTTTGTCACAGCATCCCCAGCAAAGTTATACCCAAGGAGTAATCCATTTCATTGTTAAAGGACACAGAAGCTCATGCCCTATGTCATTCATCAATGTGTAATTAGATTTTGGCCAGGAACAGAGGCTCATGCCTGTAATCCCAGCACTTTGGAAGGCTGAGATGGGAGGATCACTTGAAGCCCAGAGTTTGAGGCCAGTCTGGCCAACATGGTGAGACCCCATCTCCACACACGCACACACAAATATTAGTTGGGCATGGTAGCATGCACCTGTAATCCCAGCTACTCAGGAGGCTGAGGTGGGAGGACTGCTTGATCCTCGGAGTAAGAGGCTGCAGTGAGCTGTGATTGTACCACTGCACTGTAGCCTGGACAACACAGGAAGTCCCTATCTATCTCTTAAAAAAAAAGGTGGGGGTTTGATTTTGTGTTTTTGTTGTTGCTACTGTTGTTTTTTGGGATGGAGTCTTGTGCTGTGCCCAGGCTGGGGTGCAGTGGTTCAGTCTCGGCTAACTGCAACCTCTACCTCCTGTGCTGAAGTGATTCTCCCACCTCAGCCTCCCGAGTAGCCGGGATTACAGATGTGGGTCACTGCGCCTGGTCAATTTCATGTTTTGGCTGAGTTGGGTCTGGCAGGTGTATGGTTAATAAACCAGGTCTAAATATTTCTAGGCTACCGGTGGCTCGGGCACGTGCTGACAGCAATGTTGTGGATGGTGATATTGGCTTCGAACATGGATGAAAACAAGATCTGGTCTCTTTTTTTTTACTCAGACAGTGTTGATGAGCTGACCTAGGAGATAAAAGGTACAAGTACATGAGTACATGAGGTACATGAGGCCATGTGTACATCCTGGGAAAGGGGATGCCAACTGCTGGGACCCCAGCCCCCCTGCCACCACCCGGCCAGTGGCTCTTCCATGTTCATTACAGCTTTTGAGAGGTTCACTATTCAAAGGAGGATGAATCAAGGAAAGTACAGGTCTGGGGCACAATTCTGTTAAACATGACAAGGAATATGCCTTGATTCAAGAAAACCCATGGCCAGGCACGGTGGCTCACACGTGTAATCCCAGCACTTTAGGAGGCCCAGGACAGAGGATCACTTGAGCCCAAGAGCTTGAGGCCAGCCTGGGCGACATAGTGAGACCCCTCCCCAACTCTACCAAAAATGTAAAAGGAAGAAAAAAAGATGTAACTCAGGCATTACCCACCTCCACGTAGCCTTCCTGATAGCGCCATACCCAGGTGGGCTCAGGGGCAGCCTCTGTTCTCCGAGCATCAGAAGCTGCCTCCCTTGGGCAGTGGTCCTGGGTCATCTCCTGCAGGAGTCCAGGCACAGGATGATAGTGGATGGATCTGGACTGAGGGTCAGAGATGTGGAAAGGCAGACAGCTTTGGGACGCAGTTGGCGAGATCAGTGGGATTTGCTGCAGCATGGCTGTCAGGGTGCAGGGGAGAATTCTGGACCAGCTGTGTCTTCATCTCTCTGTTCCCTCCAATCCTAGGAGAACAAATGAGGCAGAAGGATTTGTGGGCCCTGCTCAACAGCTCCATCCTTAGGAACTCCAGGACGATGAAGTTCCACGGCTGGGAGGGAGCCTTTCTGGACAGAGTCCTGTGCATCTGAGGCCAGGAGCTGGGCGCCTTGCGGACCTCCGGCCTCCTCTTCTCTGTGTCGCTGGTGTCCTTCCAAGCGTCTACCTTTCTGGTGATGTCACTCTAGTCTCTATGCCGAGCAGGACTGGGGAAGGAGTGTGGGGGTCAGGAGGTGAGGTAGGTGGAGCCTCCCAGATCCTACCACCCTGTCCATCAAAACCCACACATTCTGGATCCTGTTCTCTCGGGGTTCCTGCTGTCTTCTGCATGAACGAATTAATCACATCATTCTGGTGAAGGTGGCAGTGGCTGATGAGGTCTGCTGTTCTGAGAGTTCCAGGCTTCTACTGATGTGGGGAGGAGGGTTCAGGTGCAGGCAGGCTGCAGAGGTGGAATCCAGGGTCTGAGTGGCTTCCCTGCTGCTGGCTAGCAGATGTCCACAGCCACCCTGTCACTGACATAATCCTTGTCCTGCCATTCTGTGATTTATTTCCGATGGCTGTCAGAACACTCTTCCTAAAGCACAGCTTTTGGAAGAATTTAAACAGGTTGATGCATAGGCCAGATGCAGTGACTCACACCTGTCATCCCAGCTCTTTGGGAGGCTGAGGTGGCTTGATCCCGGGTCCTGGAGATCACAGTGATCTGAGATTGTGCCACTTCACTCCAGCCTGGGTGACAGAGCAAGACTTTGTCTCAAAAACAAAACGAAACAAAACAAAACAAAACAAAAGGACCACAAATGACACCAACACCTACAGCCCTGCCGGGCTGCTCTCCCCAGGAGTCCCCAGGCTCAGCCCTCACATCTATCACCTTCACAGAGAGGCCTTTCCTGACCACCTTCACCACCGCCACAGCACCCCTGCTCCTGCTAATGCACTCTACACCTGCACCAGAATTTCTCTTTACTTTTTTATTTTTGAAGACAGAATCTTGCTCTATTCCCCAGGCTGGAGTGTAGTGGTGCAATGTTGGCTCACTGCAACCTCCACCTCCCGAGTTGAAGCAATCCTCCCACCTCAGCCTCCTGAGTAGCTAGGATTACAGGCAGGTGACACCATGCCTGGGTCATTTTCTTTGTTTGTTTGTGCTTTTAGTAGAGATGGCATTTCACCATGTTGGCCAGGCTGGTCTTGAACTCCTAACCTCAAGGGATCCATCCACCTCAGCCTCCCAAAGTGCTGGGATTAGAGGCATGAGCCACCATGCCTGGCTATGACCTGTATTTTGTGTGACCTCCTGTCTCATTCTGTGACTTAGAATGCCTAACCATCTGGGAATGCAGCCCAGTAGGTCTCAGCCTCATTTTACCCAGCCCCTATTCAAGATGGAGTTGCTCTGGTTGACACACCTGTGACAAACAGGCAGGGTTATGTTCCAATAAAACTTTATCCACAACAAAAGGTGTAGGCTGTCGTTTGCCAACCTGTTTCGCATCAGCCAGGACATCTTCCTCTTCCCAAAGTTTTGATCTACCCATCCTCCCCAGGCCCCCTCTCCCCTGCCCGCCCCACTTCCTGATTGGTTCTCTGTATTTTCTCTGTGGGTTCCTTGGTGCACATATAATTAGCTGGAGAAACTGCATTGGTCATCAAACCTGCTCCTTCAAGAGGGTCTGAGGTCCTCCCGCCACAGGGACACGGATGGCGCTGATAACCCCAGGGTGTGTGGGAGCCAGTGCCAGGTTGCTCCGGGCTGGCCATCTCTCTGCACAGGGCAGCTCAGCATCTCCTTGGTGGCATTCCAGGTCTTCACGGACATTCACAATGGCAGCTCGGGCTTTGAGCATTCTGGACGCATCCTGATGGGACCCACATCTCTCAACTACTCTGTGAGCTGCTGTTACCATGATGGGCACCTGGAGCTCTCTGGCCAGAGCCAGCATAACAGTGAGGCCTTGTGGGCTAGATTCCCAGGCAAGGCCTCCCTGCTCGCAGAGCTGCAGATACATGGTAAGGCACTCAGCGCACAGCCCTGGGACTGGGGAGCTAGCTTCTTCCATGCCTGGGCCAGCCAGCAGCCTCAGGCCTGGACCCAGATGGCACCCCATCAAGCCCAGTGTGGCCCTGGGCTCTGGGACAACCAGGAAAGCCTTGCCCATGAATGGCCTCACTCCCAAGGCAGGCGGATTAGTTTCCTAGGACTTCTGCAACCAAGTCCCACACACCGAATGGCTTAAAACACAGGAATCTTAGCCGGATGTGGTGGCACGTGTGTGGTCCCAGCTGCTCGGGAGGCTGAGGCAGGAAAAGCACTTGAGCCAGAAGGTGGAGGCTGCAGTGAGCTATGATTGCAACACTGTGCTCCAGCCTGGGTGACAGAATGAGACCCTGTCTCAAAATAAAACAATCCACAGTGGATTGAACACCCGTCTGTCTTGAATGTGACATTATTTTTACTTATTCCATCTGTTAAGACCATTTATTTATTTACTTACTTATGTACTTATTTATTTATGACTGAATCTCACTCTGTCACCCAGGCTGGAGTGCGGTGGTGTGATCTTGGCTCACTGCAACCTCTGCCTCTCATGTTCAAGTGATTCTCCTGCCTCAGCCTCCTGAGTAGCTGGGATTACAGGCATGCACCACCACGCCTGGCTAATTTTTCTATTGTTAGTAGTGACAGGGTTTCGCCATGTTGGTCAGACTGGCCTCAAACTCCTGACCTTGTGATCCACCTACCTCGGCCTTCCAAAGTGCTGGGGTGACAGTTGTGAGCCACCGCACCCAGCCAAGACCGTATTTTTAAATAAGGTCATATTCATAGGACAGAGGGTGAGGGGAATGGGACTTCATTATCTCTGTTTGGGGTCCATGGTTCAGCCCATTATGGGGGGAAAATAAAAGCAATAAGAGGAGCCAGCACTGGCTGGGCACTTACTACCTACATGCCAGGCAAGCTTTGTACACACAAGAGCTCAGTACAGTACAGCTGTCCCCATCACACAGGGGGATGCCACAGCTCTTAGAGGGGCCTGCAAGCTGGCAGATCCCGCCCCCTTTCCCCATCTCACCTCATCTCCAGGCCCCCAACCCCACCTGTTCCACTCCTTTCTATTCTTTAACATACCAGGTTTGCTGCTGCCCCAGGACCTTGGATGGGCTGGTCCTGCCGCCTGGAATGCCTCTCTCCCACATACCTGCCTGTCTCCCTCGCCTCCCTTAGCTGTTTTTCCAATGGCATCTCAGGGAGGCCTCTTTTCCACCTCCCCATCTTCTCCCACCCTCTCCCCTGTTCTGTCATTTGAACACACCGTGTAGTATGCAAATATCTTGGTTTTTCATTTTCTCTACACAAGAATCACCAGAATGTGTGCTCCATGAGGGCAGGGATGATTGTTGTCTGCTTTGCCACAGGGCACATAGTAGGTGTTGAACATGCGTGAATGAGCATATGAGGTAGGGTTAGGAATGCCATTCCCATTCTGCAGATGAGGAATGGAGGCTCAGAGAGGTTAAGTCACCTGGCCCAGGCCACACAGCTGGTAATGACAGAGCAAGGATTGAACCCAAAGCTACCCTCTGACCCCCATATAGATTACGGAGACCTGGCTCTTGACCATTCAGGACCCCTGGGTCTCCCTAGTCCCCTAGGGTATCTTCTTTTGGCCTCAAACTTTTTTTTATTTGGGGGGCTTGGTGCAATGTCTCATGCCTGTAATTCTAGCACTTTGGGAGGGTGAGGCGTGTGGCTCATTTGAGGTCAGGAGTTAGAGACTAGCCTGGCCAACATGGTGACTCTGTCTCTACAAAAAAAAATTAGCTCGGCATGGTGGTGCATGCCTGTGGTCCTAGCTACTCAGGAGGCTGAGACACGAGGACCGCTTGAACCTGGGAGGCGGAGGTTCTAGCGAGCCAAGGTCGCACCACTGCACTCCAGCCTCGGTGACACAGTGAGACTCCCTCTCAAAAAAATCAACAACAAAAAAAAACAACAAAAACTTTATTTTTGGCCCTCAGCCTCCTGAGGGGTGAATGGAGAACTGGATCACATGAGGAAATTGTTCCTAGCCTGAGCTGACCTCAGAATTTTTGGGGGACCAGTGATGGAGTGAGGGGAGGTCATTCTGGATGAACACTTTCACGCTGCTCTAGTTCCTGGCCCAGGATGTCTGGTGTGGGCGCCCCCAGCCAGGAGGGACCTCTCCCTCCTCCCATGGCTGTCCGCAGTCTGCTGCCCCCACTCTCGGGGACACTTACTGCCTGTTGTTAACGTTCTTGGTATCTCTGACAGCCAGGCACTCCCGGGAGTGAGAATTGTGGCCCCTCCCCCCTCTTGTTCTGCACGTAGTAGATACACGTGGTTGAGTGTGGAATGAGGAAGGAAGGAAGCGTTTCCCAGGCCTCCTGCATGCCCCACGGGTGGTCCTCTCCCATGTGTTACCCCATTTACTCTGGACGCTGTCCCTTGAGGCGGGTGAGCTGTGCCCACCTTATAGATAAGAAAGTCAAGGCTCAGAGCTGCAGGGCCTATCCACCCTGCTGGCCAGGTGGGAGGTGCTGGAGCCTGGCTGAGTGTCACTTGGGCCTGAGCCATGAGCTGCACCCCACGGGAACGTGGTATCTGACATAGAGTAGGCGCCATCTGTTTGCTCTGGGGCTCCTGGACCTGATGGGTTTCTATGTGTAGCAGAGGGACTTTAAGTCAAAGAAGAAACTCTTATTGTGAGCCAGACTCTCCTATTCTGCGGGGGGTGATGGGAGGGATGGCACCCTCCAGCCAGGGCCAGGTGGCTGCAGGTGGGTATCAGGCCGCAGTGGCCATTTATCAAGAGCAGACCTCATGCTGATTCATCTGCAGGCTGCTCAGAGAATCCCCAGGAATCCCTACAGAGAAGCAGCCTCCCTCAGTCATTCGGAAAGTACTCACTGACCCCCTGTTGTGTGTCAGGAGCTGTCCTAAGACAAACCCCACCCCGGGGGGGGCTGGCATTCTCATGGGGTGGCAGTAGGGGAGCAGGAACCTAGTAAGTGAGTGAGTGAGGTCATTTCAGGTTGTGCTGGGAACCCCACTCCATGGATGGAGGATGCCTGGCAACAAAGAATTGGGAGGGACTTCAGATGGGTAGTCAGGGGAGGCTTCTTGAAGGAGGTGTCATTTCAACAACTTCAACTTCAATGAAAGGAGGAGCCACCCAGGCCTAGATCCTCAGGGACAAATGATGACAGATGATGTCAAGGAGGCTCAGAAGGGGTTGACCCCACCCAGCTCCCCCATGGGAGCCTTTCCCTTTCCTGCTGGTGTTAAGGGCCACAGGGCATGGACCCTCCCGAAGTCTGGTGTGTTCCTGGGCTGGGGAGGGAAGTGAACCTGTCTTCAGTAGCCTGTGCCATTTTCTGTCTCTAGAGGCCCAGACCCAGGCCGGCGTGGCCCTCTGTAACAGGGACGGTGGGGTCAGCGTGGACCTGGCAGCCCTGGTGGCTTGGCCACTGCATGGCCGGCTGCAGCTGGTGGCCAATGCCAGCCACACAGTGCCTGCTCTTCAGAGGATGGTCCTGCCCTTCTCCAGCCAGGTAAGGAGTGGATGGGAAAGACCTCCGTCCAAATTCTGTCGCCTCTGTCCAATTCCTGGGGTGCAGAAGACCCGCTGTGTGCAGGGCAGATGGGGAGGGCCAGGACTTGGCTTTCCCCAGCACTTTACAGTTTACAAAGGCTTCATTTGTAATCGCTGTAACCAGGTCTGCTGAGCAGTCTCTGCCTTTGCAATCACAGGGCTGGTGTGGACGGGCGCCCTGGATTAGTGCCTGGCTTCTGACCTGTCTTTCTGCCCTGCAGTCTTGGGTCAGAATCAGAGCTCCTGCTTGTCTAGTGCCTGCCCCATGCCAGTCCCCTTTGAAGGGTTCATGGGCATTTGTTAGTTTCATCCTCCCAATGCCCCAGAGAGAGGCAGGATGGCCCCTTCCTTACCAAGCTTTTTCCAGTGTTTGGATCCCTCCTCTGCTACTTGCCAGCTGTGTGGCCCTGGGCAAATTCCTTCGCCTCTCCGTGCCCTCATCTCCTAATCTGCAAAATCAGGATGATGATACTACCTATAATGGGGAGGTTGTGAGGATTGAGTGAGTTAATCTCATGAATGCCTGAGTAGATGCTTAAGAAGCACTTGTGATAAAGATGAAAACGGTGATGCTCATGTTGTGACAGTGACCATTATCATCATCACCATCATATCTGGGTCACAGGCGAAATTGTGGGTGACTTGCCCAAGGTCACCTAGCAAGCAAGCAGCAAAATAGGGCCTCAGACTTGGCACCCAGGTCCTTCCTCATGGGGCCCTGCTGCCTCGGCAGAAGAACCCACATGGGGCCATGCCCTGTCGACTGTCACTTGGCATGAACTCTCCCTGCCTGGCTGGCCCTCCTTCTCCAAGAGCCACAGAGTGTGTTCCAAAGCAGGCTCCAATGCTTCTTTCCCATACACACTCCTGTTTCAGATTGCCCAGCAACCCTGCCCTAGTCCTCTCTGCGGTGGGAGGAGGGGGTGGCTCCTGGGGTCTCAGGGGGCCAGGATATCACCCCTCCTGCAAAGGATCTCAGCTCTGTATCCCACAATTGACTGGACTGGATACCCCATGCCCCTGACTTCATCTACACTCTATCCTGGACTCGAAGCCAGGTGATGGGGAGCCCCCGGGGGAGCATGTTCTCGGCCGATGTCTGGGCTGCAGCTGTCCTTTGAGTGGGCATTTCCATCCTGAGCTGCAACAGGGGCCGACCCCTTGCATCCTCAGCACCCATGAGAGTGTTGGATGAGCCAGGCCTGCTGGGCTGTAGAGCTTGGCTGGGGTCCCCACCTGGCTTGTGAGGGTCCTCAGGCTGTCTATGCCCGCACACCTCGCAGTCTGCTCCCTCCTCAGCTCTTGTTCCTAGGACTCTGGGCAGCACAAGACATGAGCTCCTCGCTGCTGCTGACCTGCGATTCTCAGGCCAGCTTGGTCATTGATGTCCATGGCCAGAACCAGGCACTCCGGTGAGGCCCCCACCTACCAGGAGAGGAGTCGGGGGTAGGAACCATTGGCTGGGAACCTACTGTGCACCGATGCTGGACACAGTACCTCTCAATCCTCTGCTCAGCCCCGCTGCACCGATGTGGGCAGGGAGGCTCAGAGAGGGCAAGTGACTTTTCCAAGGTCACCTAGCTATAAAAATCCCTCAACCTCTCCAGGCAGAGCACTGATGAGTTCCTGGTCTCAGAAACGAAGTGCATCCCAGGCTCTAGACACTTACTAGCGATTATGACTGCCCTTAGGGCTGGGTGCCTGGCTCGGTGCTCGGTGTTTTCATGCATGCGCTACATCAGGCACCACGAGCCAGTTTCCAGTGCTCAGATCTCAGCAGCTAGGGAGGGGGTGAGTAAGCCACTTGTTGAAGGGGTTAACCAGTGGTTCTCACTTAGAGGCGACTCTCCCCCCACCCCCAGGGACTTTCCACATGTCTGGGGAGTTTCTGGTTGCTACACTGGGGAGGAGGACGCTCTGAGGGTCAGAGGCCACGATGCTGCTAAGCATCTTAAAGTGCGCAGGACATACCCACAACCACGAGGCCATGAGCCAAGACATCAGCTGTGCCAAGGCTGAGACCCTGGGGTGGAGAGGAACCCGACAGGAGGGTGCAGCGCCCTGGGGTTACACAGGCCTGGCACAGTGGCTCATACCTGTAACCCCAGTGCTTTGGGAGGTCGATGTGGGAGGATTGCTTAAGCCCAGGAGCTCCAGCAGCATAGTGAGACCAGTCTGGGCAACATAGTGAGAACCCTATCTCTACAAAAAGTCTTAAAAAGTAGCGAGGTGTGGTGCTGCTTGTTGTAGTCCCAGCTGCTTGGGAGGCTGAGGCAGAAGGATCACTTGAGCCTGGGAGGTAGAGGCTGCAGTGAGCAGAGATCATACCACTGCACTCCAGGCTGGGTGACAGAGAAAGACCCTGTCTCTAGGAAAAAGAAAAGGAAACATGGAGATGATTCCCACCCTGGCTTGAAGGACTGAGGGGAGGGGAGTTATGTGAGGAGGAGCCCTGGGAGGCGGCCAGGCGGTCACAATCCTGCTGTGTCAGACCCTGCTGGGGCTCCCATGGGACCAACCCAAGAAAGTTCATGGAGGGGCTCATAGCAGACTTGCAGCCCAGAGCCATGCTTAACCCTTGATACTAATGGGGAAACTGAGGCTCAGAGAGGGGCAACTGAGATGCTTGCCCGTGGTGCCAGAGCTAGGTAGAGGCCAAGCTGGGATTCAAACCCAGGTCACCTGGCTCCAGAGTCCAGCCCTAACCAGGATACCGTATGGCCCTTGAGCCTCAGGGTGTGGGAGTAGCCCTGCATTGGGCCACTGATGTGATCCTGGCTCTCTGACCCTCTCTTGGGGAAGCTGACTTGGTCTCAGCCTGGCCCTGGGGGCACTGGACAAGGCAGCGTCTTGCCAGCTTCAAGCTCTCACTTTCCTTCCTTCTGGCAAAGAGCTGCTGTTCTCAGGCTGGCATCACCTCCCCTCCCTCCTGGGCTGCTGCCTCAGCTCAACCTCAGTCTCAGCTAAAGTAACTGTGTCCCAGCCACCTGGCTCCTAACTGGTTCCAGATGCTTGCCCCAGGTGGAAGGGGGCCAGGCCCCTCCGGGGCATGTTAACGCATGCGCATCTGTCCGCCAGCCTGCAGCAGGACCACATGCGCCACCCTTGGAAACCTCTGGCTCCATCTTTCCCAAACATACCCAGGTTTACATTCTTGGGCCGGTCCACAGCCAGGCCCATGAGCCCTTTGGGAGATGGGGGAGGCCTCCTCATCCAGTGCCTGGTGCCTGGTGTTGCCTCACCCAGCCTGGAGCACTTGTAGAGGCTGGAGCTGATGACACAGCCATTGGAGCTGAGCCAGTGTCACCCCCGTTTCTGCTCTGCAGGAAGGACTGGGGGATCCTGGGAGTAAACAGAAGGGCCCATTAGACTTAGGCCAGGTTCCTCTGTCCGTCTAAGCTGTCGTTGTTCGTGTCCAAATCTGGACTCCCTGGAGGGCATGCCTAGTGCCTGACACAGGGCCCAGTGCATAGTAGGTGCTCAGTAAAAAAACAGGGCATGAATGGGTGAGTGCATGCATGAATGGTCACATCTGCCAACTGGTCATTTCATTTTCCTGCCAGCCACCGTGTTTTGCTAGGCACCCTCCTAGTCCTGGCCGAGGCTGAATTTCTTTACAGAGCATGTGCTACGTGCTGGGGTACTCTGCCGTATTTACACAGGATTTTGGAGTTCCCTACACTTCGCTACAACTGCGCAATCATTCAGGTAACTTCTTTCTTTCCTTATTATTTATTTGTTTTTTGAGACAGAGTCTCGCTATGTCACCCGGGCTGGAGTGCAGTGGCATGATTTCAGCTCACTGCAACCTCCACCTCCTGGGTTCAAACGATTCTCCCGCCCCAGCCTCCTGGAATAGCTGGAATTACAGGCACGCACCACGACACTTGGCTAATTTTTGTTTTGTTTTGTTTTTGTAGAGATGGGGTTTTACCATCTTACCCAGCTGGTTGCAAACTCCTGACCTCAAATGATCCACCACCTCGGCCTCCCAAAGTGTTGGGATTACAGGTGTGAGTCACCATGCCTGGCCTTACTTCTTATTTCTAAAATTTCTTTTTGAGACAGGGTCTTGCTCTGTGACCCAGGCTGGAGTGTAGTGACATGATCATAGTTCACTGCAGCCTCCAGCTCTGGGGTGCAAGTGATCCTCCCGCCTCAGCCTCCAGGGTAGCTGGGACTACAGGTGGTACCACTACACCTGGTTCTGTTCAGGGAGCTGCTTAGTTTTTCCCCAAGTTTTGTTTTGAGTCATTTGAACCTATATAAAAGTTACTGTGGGACAGTGAACATTGATCAATTGCTAATATCTTTCCGTATTTCTCATCTGTGTTACATGCATTTGTATTATCATACATACATTTTTTTCTGTATCATTAAGAATTAATATAGAGATGTTTCTGAAGATGTCACCTTTTTACTCTGAAATACTTCAACTCTTTCCTGTAACAAGGAAATTTTCTGATTTAACACAATAATTACAGCATTCAGGAAACTGAACATTGAAGTCATACCTTCATTTAATGTACAGCCCATATAAAATTTCCCAGCTTTCCCAGTAACGTTCTTTTAAAAAATTGTTTTGTTTTGTTTTAAATCTGGAATGCAGGCCAAGATCGCACAGTGTGCATAATTACCATGTCTTTTTAATTTTCTTAATCTAGAACAGAGGTCTACAAACTTTTACTGTAAAGTGAAATGTAGAGGTTGCAGGCCTTATGATTGCTGTTACAGCTACTCAGAATTGTCACTGTAATACAAAAGCAGCTCTAGACGACATGTAAGTGAATACGCATGGTTGCGTTACAATAAATCTTTATTTACAAAATCAGGTTGTGGACCACCTTTAACCCAAAAGTCAGCTCCTGATCTAGAACATTCTCCTTCCACACCCTACCTTTCTTTAACCAATGTTTAATTTTTTTTTTTAACTTTTTTAAATACAGAGTTTCTCTGTTACCCAGGCAGGAGTGCAGTGATGCAATCTCGAGTCTGCCAACCTCTGCCCACTGGGTTCAAACAATTCTACTGCCTCAGCCTCCTGAGTAGCTGAAATTACAGGCATGCACTACCACACATGGCTAAGTTTTGCATTTTTAGTAGAGATGGGGTTTCACCATGGTGGCCAGGATGGGTCTCAAACACTTGGCCTCAAGTGATCCACCCACCTTGGGCTCCCAAAGTGCTGGGATTACAGGCGTGAGCCACTGTGCCCAGCACCAGTCCCCCAACATTTTATTATAGAATTTTTCAGACACTAATAAATGGAAGCAATTTCACAGTGAACGCCCACATACCTAGATTTTTCTGTTCACATTTTATTTTGCATAATCACATAGCTCTCCATCCATCTTAGTTTTGGATACATTTCAAAGTAAGTTGCAGATATCAATATGATTTCCCCTAAACATTTTATTATCATTAACTACCTTTTAAAAAAAATTCCAACCAGATGCAGTGACTCACACTTGTAATCCCAACACTTTGGGAGGCCAAGATGGGAGAACTGTTTGACTTCAGGAGTTCAAGACCAGCCTGGGCAATGTAGGGAGACCCTGTCTCTACAAAAAATAAAAAAAGTCACCAGGCATGGCAGTGCCGACTTGTAGTCTCAGCTACCTGCGAGGCTGAGGTATGGGAGAATTGCTTGAGCCCAGGAGGTTGAGGATACAGGGAGCTGTGTTCACACCATTGCATACTCCAGCCTGGATGATAGACCAGACCCTGTCCGTCTCAAAAAAAAAAAAAAAAAAAAAAAAAAATCCTGCATTGACAATTTTGAAGTGTCCAGGAAGTCATTTTGCAAAACATTCTCCTAATGTGGATTTGTCAGATTGCTTGCTGAAGACAAGATTCAGGTTGAACATTTTTGACACGGCTATCACTAATGTAATGACACATCTCTGGTGGGCTCATTAAAAGTACCAGTTCTTGGCCAGATGTGGTGGCTCGAGCCTGTAATCCCAGCACTCTGGGAGCCTGAGGTGGGCAGAGCAACTGAGGTCAGGAGTTCGAGACTAGCCTGGCCAACATGGTGAAACCCCCGTCTCTACTAATAATAACAAAATTAGCTGGGTATGGTGGCACACATTTGTAATATTAGCTACTGGAGAGGCTGAGGCAGGAGAATCACTTGAACCTGGGAGGTGGAGGTTGCACTGAGCCAAGATCATGCCACTGCTCTCCAGCCTGGGTAACAGAGCAAGACTCCATCTCAAAAAAAAAAAAAAAAAAAAAAAAAAAAAGAGCACCAGCTCTTGAACCTCTTTTCAGAGACTCCATTTTGTAGGTTTTAAATGGGAGCCCAGAACACATTTTTTGTAAGTTCCCCCTAGTGAATCTGCTGTTCAGCCAACCTGGAAGTTAGCACATTATTTCATACAATGTTGACAGCAACCCATAATAAAATAGATGTCCTTATCCCTGTGTTTTGAATTAGAAAGCTGAGGCTCAGGTGGTTACGAAACTAGCTGGAGATTACTCACCTCTCCGTGGTGCATCCACACTTGGAGCTCTGTCTGTTTGATGCTGACACAAGCCCAAGCATTGTCCTTTCTGCTAGACTGCCCCCTGCTGTCTGCAACAGTACTGCAACTAGAGTTCTTGCCTGTTAGTACCAGGCTGGTAGATATTTTCAAGTCAGTGTTAAAGCAGGGAGGGCCCAAGAAGATAGCTGCTATGGCCACATTTGATGGCCTCAACTGAGGCTCCAAACCCTTACTTCACCAAAGTTCCTCCAGCTCAGGAAGCTGTGGGTCTCTTGGGCCTGGGGCTTTGAGAGGCAGAACTCATGGCTTAAAGCCAGTATCTGCTTAAATGTTCCATCAGAGCCCCGAGGAGATCTAGTGTGTGTGTGTGTGTGTGTGTGTGTGTGTGTGTGTTTCCTGATTCAGCTACACTCCTCCAAGGGTGAGGTTCAGAACACGTTTGCCTTGGGTGTGGAGGAGCATCATTTTCACATCAGCACCCATCTGGTAGCTGCTGAGGCCAGTCTCACCAACTTCATGAAGCTGGAACATTCCTTCCTGCAGGTGTGTGGAGGACAGCTCAGGCCAAGGGCATGCTGGGGTGGGGGTTGGGGGGGCTCCTGGGACAGCCCTTGGAATAAAAAAGAAATGGTCCTAATGTCCTGGTTCCTGGGAGGAAGGGCAGGCAAGGCTGTGGAATGGACAAAATTTGCTGGAGTAGATTATCAGCTGGTGTCTTTATCCATCCCTTCTTCCTTTGGCATGATTTATTGAACATCTACTAGGTGCCAGGCACTATTTCAGAAGCTGGGGTGTGACCTAAAACGGAACTGATCAATCCTTTCTCTCATCAATTGTGTACTGTAGTGGGGGAGGATTAACTACCCAAAATGACACAAATCGACAGTAGTAAGATCTGGAGAAAATGTACTGAAGTGACTGAACAGTGAGTGTATTTAGATTAGGTGGCCAGGGAAGGCTCCACTGAGGAGGCGGTGCTTGTGCTAGCCTTGGATGGTAAGTGCAGCCATTTGAAAATCTATGGGAAGGCCAGGCATGGTGGTTCATGCCTGTAATCCCAGCACTTTGGGAGGCTGAGGTGGGTGGATCACCTGAGGTCAGGAGTTCAAGACCAGCCTGACCAATATGGAGAAACCCCATCTGTATTTAAATATATATATATACAAAATTCGCCAGGAAAAGGCATCCTTGGAAGGGGCTGTCATTCGTGGTCTGTGCAGCCATGCAGACTGTCAGTTTCTGTGTGAGAAACCCCCTGTGCACAGAGAAGAGCCCAACCCCAGACCTGACAGAATGCAGACCCCAGCTCGGGGGCACGGCTTGCCAGGTGGCCTGATGGAATCCTCCCAGTGTCACATTTGCCACTTGTGTGCCCTGGAAGGCAGAGGAAATGAGCAAGTCCTCAACAGGCCAAGGCAGTGTGTATGTGTTTGCATGCCTGTATGCACGTGTGCATGTATGCTGTGCATGTGTATGCCTGTGTGTGCACTGTATGCCTGTGTGCATGAGTGTGTGTATATATGCACGTGCATGCACGTGTTTGTGTATTTGTGCCACCCTTGGTGAGCCTCACAGCTTGCAGCCTCACACTGTGGTCAGTGTTGCACGTGGTGGGTCAGCAGGTGGCAGGGAAGAGGCTTCCAGGCCTGCATTTGGTCAGCCTCCCCAGAACCAGTCACTTGAGTGATGCCATGAGAACCAGCCAGTGCCAGTGTCTCTGGGCACAGCTCCCTGAAGCCCATCTGCAGGTGGGTGTCCTCTGTACAGAGCTCAGAGCTCACCACAGCACAAAGGGCCCCTGGGCACCCTCCTACTGTAGGGGTCTGGGAAAGCAGACTGTGCAGGGGCCTCAGGAGGTGGGGTCGTGATGCAGGAGGTAAGGGCAGCTTGACTCACCTGGGGGAAAAAGGAAGAAGAGCCAGGCTGTGCAGACTGTTGCGAGGACTCAGCTATGGGGTGCCACCTGTCATACCCCGAGATGGAATGAGAGCATAGGATTGGGCGGCATGGGGAATCTGGGAGGGCGCAGGTCACTCATGTCTGTGAGGTCCCCAAGAGCGATGCAGGTTGTTGGGGGTTGGGACTGCTCCCATTAGATCTTGATTCAAGATGGTAAAAAACTGCTCCGAAACTCAGCGGCATCAAGCAAGCATTGGTCCTTGCTCACAAGGCTGTGGGTTACCTGGGCAGCTTTTCTGGTCTTCCACATGTTCAAGGTCTATAGGGTGAGCAGGCGGTTCTGCTGGCCTTGGCTGGGCTCTCTGACCTGCTCGGGGGCTGGCTGTCAGCTTCGCTCGGACATCCTGAGCTAAAACCAGGCTCCCTCCAACCCCGGGTGGCACCAGCCCAAAGGCGGGTAGGGTTGGTGCTCATGTGGCTGGGAAAGGGGTTCAAGGGAAGGAAGTGTGGCGAGGCCTCTTAAGGCCTGGGCTTAGAACTGGTGCTCACTCGGTCACGTCACTGAATTATATTAGAACATCACGAGGCCAGCCCAGGTCTGAGGGCTGAGGAGGTAATGTCACCTCCAAGAGAAGCCTTGAAGTCTCATTGGAATGGGGATTCCCACAGCGACAGTGCAGGGTGTCAAGTGGTAATGGTGACAAAGTACGCACATAGCTTCCAAATTTTGTGAAAATTATCTGGGTGTGTGGCCCTGAGTGGCCTACTTGCCTGAGCCGGCAGCGGCGGCTGCCAAGAGTCCTCTGAACCACCCTGGGGCTGCAGCTGCTGACCTCAGCTCACATGGCCTACCCTTTGTGTGTGTCCTCCCCAGCCCAGTGGAAGCTCACCCACCCGCTGCCCCTCCACGTCCTCAGAGCATTTGGGAGGCAGCCACCGGGACAGCCTGGTTGTCGGGTGGGATGGCAGGAACCAGGTAGGGGTCAGGGCTGAAGGTCACCCCTAGCGCAGAGCTGAACTCCACTCTGCAGGCTGAGCAGGGATCCTTGGGGCCCTCCCCTGCTCGAGGAGTCTTACCTGGGGCTGAGAAGGCTGCACCATGTCCCACAGTCTCACTAGAAGGGCAGCAGGAGACCTGGGTCCCCACAACACCTTGACAGGCAGGGCAGTGACGTGGCTGACAGGCCGCGAATGCTTATCCCATGATAGGTGCTGTGGGTCAACCCACACCTCAGCCTCCAATCTGCTCAGTGCTATTAATAGTCCCATGTTCAGATGACGAAATTGAAGGACTTAGAGATGCTGTGACCTGTCCTGGAGCCACAGAGCTAGGGAAGATAGTGGAAGAGGAGGGCGACCTCCAGTTTCATCTCTGTCATGTGTTTACTCCCTCCGCTCCTCTCCAAGCCTCGATGTCCTCCTCTGAGAAATGGGCTGAGCTCTCCCAGGGCTGGGTTTGTGCCTAACACCATCTGTCCTTGAAGCCTTGATCTTGATAGAGAAGGTGGTCTGGGCAGGTGGGAAACTGGTGTGGCCTGTCTGGGTAAGGACCCTGACTGAGTCTGTCCCCCTCCCCAGGTGCTGGTCTCCTCCTCCCTATGGCTGGGGAAGAGTGAGCTGGCTGCCCGCCTGGCCCTTGCTCACCCATTCAATGTCCCCTGGCGGCAAGCTGAGGTAAGTGGCCTTGCTGAAGAGCAGGGGTAGCAGGCAGAGCCGGTAGGTGATCGAGGATGTCCCAGGCGCCCTTGGTGGGGCAGAAGCCAGGAGCTACGTGGCTGAGCCTGGGGGGCTGAGCACCTCAGGTAGGAGGAGACCATCTTCATCAGTGACAACTTCTCCAGAATCAGAGCTCCTTGAAGCCTGGGATCTCCAGGGTCCTTCATTCAGTTGTTCCTCTATCAATACCTCATGAAGCATCTACTGTATACCATGCAGTGTTTGCGGACAGCTCACATTTCAACATGGGGAAACAGGTCCAGGTGTCTCCAATTTATCATTTATAGTTGCCTGTTTAGTGGTAGCTTTGGGGACTGAGTGAGCAGCTGGGCACCCCATCTGGCTGGGTGGCCTCTGGCGTCTCCCATCGCCTCTCTGAGCCTTTCAGTTTTTCCATCTGTGAAAGGGAGGACAATAGACCAGTTGTCTGCAGGTAAAAGACACTCCAGAATTCAAGCCAAGGAATGAATTTAAAAATCAGAAGGTGTGATAAGCACCATAAAGCAGTAAAGATGGGCTGGGCGCAGTGGCTCAGGCCTGTAATCCGAGGACTTCAGGAGGTCGAGGCAGGTGGATCACTTGAGGTCAGGAGTTTGAGACCAGTCTGGCCAACACGGCAAAACCCTGTCTACTAAAAATACAAAACATTAGCCGGGCATGGTGGTGCACACCTGCTATCACAGCTACTCGGGAGGCTGAAGCAGGAAAATCGCTTGAGCCCTGGAGGCAGAGGTTGCAGTGAGCCAAGATCATGCCATTGCACTCCAGCATGGGTGACCGAGTGACACTCTAACTCGGGGGGGAAAAAAAAAAGTAAAGAGTATATAAAATTGAGAGTAACTGGGCAGGTGGGTGGGGGAGCTACTGCAGGCGGGTAGTCAGTGAGGGCCTCATGGGAGAGGCAGCCCTGAAATGGGAAGGACCAGGCTTGTGAAAAGCTGCAGAAGCAGCACTGCAGGAGGCAGGAAAAGCATGTGCAAAGGCCTCTGTGGTGGGAAGGAGCCTGGTGCTTCTGGGAAAGCTGGAAGGGGAATAAGACAGGGGTAGAGTGCTTGGCGGGGGCGGGTGATCAGATGAGGTCCGCCAGGCAGGGACAGATCCTGCTGGGCCTGGTGGCCCATGGAAGAACACAATTGCTTTCTGCCTTTGGAAATGGTGAGTCTGGGTGTTGCAGATGAGGCGGTTTTTTAAATCCAAGATGCTTTCAGTCTGCAGCTGGGAACGGCTCTGGGCTCTTCCAGACAGGAGGGGCAGGGCATCTCTTCACCCTTCACCCCTAACTCCTCTACAAGGATATTGCAGGAGGGCGGTGTCAGCTTCTCCATCCTCCCTAGCCTCTAATTTCCCAACAGAGATCTAATTTCCCTGCCTGGCGGCCTCCCCAGGGCAGGTATGTGGGGTCTGGCCGCTGTGCCCAGTGCGGGGCTCCCCTTTGCTCCAGGCTTTCTCAGCTGCACCCCCCTGCCCCAGGTCATGTATCCTATTCTCTATCAGCTCCAGGAAACTTTGGGCCTAGACCCACTCCGGGCCTGTGGGGCCATAACACAGACCCCAGACGTGTTCATTGAACAGCTTCACCTGTCCTGGGGCCAGCACCATATGCAGCAGAACTTGACACAGGAGGTGAGGCCTGGGGAACAGTGTCCAGGCAGGGAACTCCACGTGGCTCCACATGCTGCAGGAGTGCCCCGCTCTGGGACTGTGTGGTCTTGAGTTCCAGTGCTTGTGGGACCCTGGGCAACTCACTTCTCTGCTGTGCACCTTGGTTTTCTCACCTGTGAAATGGGCACAATACCCCCTTCCTACCTGGGATGTGGTGAGGGCTCTGGAAGACAAGAAAAGCATGTTTCCCACATGAGATGCTGGAAACAGATGGGGGAGGAGGTGAGATGCTAGTGGGCTTCTCAGGAGGGGGTGGAGGGAAATTGGGAGCTTAGGTTCCTGGAGGCATCAGGGACCAGGTCTCCTCCAGCATCACTACCTGATGGGCTCCTCATGGGGCCAAGCACTGTTCTGCAGAGCCTCGGGCAGGAACCCGCCCATGGAGAACTGGGGATAACTGACCCTGGAAGCCCCCTTCCTCTTCTGGGCCTCCCATCCGGGTTCCTGGGTCTCTCAGGCCCATCCCCCTAAGTACTCACAGCGGAAATCCTGCCATGGTCAGAGTGCAGTGGCTCGTGCCTGTAATCCCACCACTTTCGGAGGCTGAGACGGGGAATCATCTGAAGTCAGGAGTTCGAGACCAGCCTGGCCAACATGATGGAATGCTGTCTCTATTAAGAATACAAAAAAATTAGCTGGGCATGGTGATGTGCACCTGTAGTCTCAACTATCTGGGAGGCTGAGGTGGGAATGACTTGCATCTGGGAGGTAGAGGTTGAAGTGAGCCGAGATTGTGCCACTGCACTCCAGCTTGGGCTACAGAGCAAGACAGTGTCTCAAAAAAAAAAAAAGAAGAAAATCCTGCACCAGAGTGTAAGGAAGTGCTGTGGCTGATGAGGGCTCTGACAGTGGATTCCTGGCACATGATCTTGCCAGGTGAGGGTCTCCACCTGCAGCTGGCCATGGGCATTCTCTTACATGATGAGCCCGACACATGGACCCTCTCATTCCAGAGGCATCGGCCATCTCAGCCAGACAAGATCATCATGGAGGCCATGCTGGAGCACGTCTTCAGGGCCTCTTGTGCCCGGCAGAGCTTCTGGGGAGAAGTACAGACGACTACGCACACTGACTGCGGCACTACCTCCAGCTGGGGCTCTGTGACCTGCCCAGGGTGAGTCTCCCCTGGAGAAAGGGGCAGCTGGAGGACCAGGGACCCGTCGTGATGAGGCAGTATGGAGGGTGGTGCCCACAGAAGGCAGGGGTGTGAGCGAGGCAGCCAGACGCCAGTATGGTGGCTCTGCCATTTGCCTGCTGGGTGACTGGGCAGGGCACATCTCCTCTCTGAGCTTCCAGTGTTTCATCTGAGGAATGGAAACAGCAGCAGGTTCCAGGTGTCAGGGTGATGGTGAGAGTTAAGATGTGACGCAGCAATGCTCAGCCTTGGTGCCTGGCACAGAAGTTAGCATTGCCGTTGTCATGATTGCCTCAAAAGAGGTGTTGGGACCCCTTTTCCTCAACCCCTTTCCCCTCCTGGGGTTGGTAGCTGGTTCATTGGTTCTTTTATCCACCCACCCATCCATTCATTCACCCATCCTTCCTTCCTCCTTCCCATCTTCCATCCATCCCATTTCTGTCCTCCCACCCTTCCACCCTCCCTCCCTTGTATCCCTCCATCCCTCCACCATCCATCCATACCATCTGTCCTTGCATCCATCCATCATCATCCATCTATCATCCATCCATGCATCCCAGGGACCCACACTCTTCTGTAAAGGGACAGATAGTAAATATTTTAGGCTTTATGAACCATCCAGTCTGTTTCAACTACCAACTCCACCACTGTCTTGTGAAAGCAGCTATAGATGATATGCATATGGCTGTATTCCAGTAAAAGTATTTATAACAGGGTTGGCAGTGAGACAGATTCAGCCCTGAACCATTGTTTCCCACCCCTTGTCTATTCCTCTGTTCAGAAAACATGTATGTGTTTTAACGATGCCAGGCTGTGCTCTAGGTTCAGGGACTGGGTAGTGAGAGAGACGGCACAGGTGCTGGCCTCCTGGGTGGTGTATTCCAGCGGGGCCAGGAAGATACAGCAAACTAGAGCTGTTTGGTCTGTGGTCAGGGCGTGGTAAATGCTGTGCAGGGAGGAAGCAGGGAGTGGGGGCAGGGTGTTGGAAAAGGGGCCTCACTGGTGAGGGTTAGCCCTGCAGACGGACGGGGACTGAGGCAGGCCTTTGTCTTGAGGACCACGGGGCAGCCCTTATGGAGGGAGTGAGGGAGGTGAGGTTGGGAAGACGAAACAGTCTACAGGCCGTGCCAGAGCCTGGTTTCTCTTAAGTGCAGGTGACAATGTCTGATTTGCGTTTGTTTTTTTCTTTTTTTTCCGGAGACAAAGGGTTTCGCTCTGTCACCCAAGCTGGAGTGCAGTGGTGCTATCTCAGCTCACTGCAACCTCCGCCTCCCAGGTTCAAGGGATTCTCCTGCCTCAGCCTCCTGAGTAACTGGGATTATACGTGAGCGCCACCATGCCCGGCTAATTTTTGTACTTTTAGTAGAGACGGGGTTTCACCATGTTGGTCAGGCTGGTCTTGAACTCCTGACCTCGTGATCCACCCACCTCGGTCTCCCAAAGTGCTGGGATTACAGGTGTGAGCCACCACGCCTGGCCCTGATTTGTGTTTCTTAGAGGTCAGCTGGGGCAGGGGCAGGCATGGAGGCTGGGAGGTGGCAGGTGCTGCAGTATTCGGTATTCGAGGTGCAGGGGATGGTGAGAAGCAGCAGCTCTTACCACCCACCCCTGCCCCACCCTGTGCCTGCCTTGACACCCAGACTCTCATCCTAGGCCCTCTTGGTCTCCGGCAAGTACATCCTGGGCCAGCGTGAACCCAGCCCCAGCCCCAGCCCCAGCCCACAGCCTGCACCTCAGCCTGACCCTCCGAAACCACAGCAGGCCTTTCGCCCGACTTCTCAGGCGAGCTGGAGGTGGGTGGCTAGCACCAGGCTGACAATCCCTCAGGAAGATGCCCAGACTTCCCTCCTGCTCCTCCCTGGCCAGCAGGCCCTCACTGCCTGGGCGGCCCCGCCATCTAGTGGCTACCTGAGGAACTGCAGACGAGCACCCCGGGTGGAACCAGAGCGTTACTCTGGGTGCAGGGAACACCTGCTGAACCCCAGGCTAGGCCTGGCCCCAAGACAAAGCAGCTCCTCCACCGGCCCAACGCCCAGCCCTTCCTATAATGGAGAGGTAATAGCTGGGCTGCCCAAGTTTGAATCTGAGCCCAGCTGCCTCCTGGCACCCGAGTTTCCTCCCGTGTAAAATGGTTATAATAATTGGACTAGCCCTAACTGGGGTTAATATTGCAAAAATTACATATGTTCACAGGCATAGATTGCTTAGAGCAATGCCTGGTGGAAAGCTGCCACTACGTAAGTATTTGCTGTCATTAGCCATTATTGGCCCCATCTCCCCCCTTCCTGCCTCCCAGCAGCCCTGGGAAGTAGGAAGGGGCAAAGTTTGCCTCCAATGCCTGCTCTGCCCTGACCTGCCAGGCGATCCCAGCAAGGAACCTCTCTGAACATCTGTTTCCTCATCTTGGATCAGGTAATTCATAGGGTGGTTTTGGGGGCTCTGGATAAGAGCCCTGGATAGCAGTTCCCACTGCCGGCAAAGCCAAGGCATGTGACATAGCAGTTGCTCTCTCTGTGTTTCCATCGCCGCCTCTGTCTCCCTGGCTGGGTGAACTTGACCTTGTGACTTTCCTTTGCTGAGCCTCAGTCTTCCCCACTGTCAAATGGGAACATCTAACATATCCCTTGCAGAATCCTTGGGAGATAAAGAGACATTTGTACATCTGCACACAGTAGGTGCTTGTGAGAAAGGAATTCCCTCCCTTCCTGGCATCTGGAGCTGGATGAGGATGGCATTTGTGGGTTGATAGTCCAGCAGCTGCGGCCGTTTCAAAGGAGCTTCTCCTTCCAAGCTTCTTGTTCTCTGGGACTGATGGTCACTTCCCTTTTCCCTGCCAGGCTCCTGGCTGCTCCCAGATCTGTAAGCCCCATGCCTGATCGAACCAGATGCCTGGGAATGAGCCTGTGGTGGACACTCAGCAAGTGACTGGTCCTCTTGCTTCCCTGTCCCAGATTTATTTGGGATGGGTGTTGCGACGCCTCCTCATTGGTTCCATTCTGGGGTCTGTGGAGTGGTCAGAGGCTTTGTCAGCCTTCTTTGTTCCTCCCCACAACCCAGTGGCCCCAGGACAGATGAGGGACAGATTCAGGGAGGTCAGACACTCTCCCAGGCTGCACAGAGGTGGGTGGGGCCCTCGCTCTTCAGCGATAGCCAGCGGGGCTCAGGCCGACTCTGTGTGGTCTGCAGACTGTCCCCTGCCACAATCTGCCTGGCAGGATCACACTGTGCTCTGTGAAATTCCACAGGAATCCTAGGCTGTACCTTCTTAGCAACTTGGATCTCCTCAGAGATCAATGTGCTTCTGCATGTTTAGTAAGCACGCTGCATTAAGTTCCAAGGGCCACTGTATTAAACTGCCACCAAACAGAAGGCTTAATACAAGCGAGGCCAGAAGTCCAAAATCAAGTTGTCAGCAGGGCCACACTGCCTCTGAAAGTCCTAGGGAAGATACTCCCATACCACCTCTAGCTTCTGGTCACTGCTGGCAATGCTTGGCTATGATGGCATCGCGCCAGTCTCTGCCTCTGTCCCACGTGGTGGCCTTCTGCCTTCTGGGTGCTGTCTTCACATGGCCTTCTCCTAGGAACAGCATTCATAGGGTGTGTGCCCTACCTTCATCCACTGTGGTCCCATCTTAACTTGATGATATTTGCAAAAAAACTATTTCCAAATAATACCATGTTCACGGATATAGGGGGTCACGACTTCAACATATGTGAGGAACCAAATTCAACCCGTAACAGACACAAACTCTTTTAAGTCCTTCTAAGTTTTGTGAACCATTGTTCTTTGTTTTACATACCTTGGAGCTGAGGCCCACAGAGGGTGCTGCCCTTATTGAAGGGTGCACAGCTTCTTAGCTGCAGTGTCTGGACTAGAATACAGGGTAGCTGAGGCTCCTTTACCTGGCAGGGCCTCCTCCAGGCTTCTGTTCTCTTGGGGCCTCTGAGCCTCTCCCCCACCCCATTCTAGACACCGGTCCTGGTCCTGGTCCCGGTCCCTGCCGTACCCCAAAGACAGGTGCTTGCAGGGATTTAGGTAAACTGCTCAGTGCCTGGGGGTGTTAGGCCAGGTGTTACCCGCATCTCCTTGAACTTGCTTAGAACTTGCAGTGGTTCCTATGCAAACTCAGAAAGCCTGGGCTGTTGGCAGAAACACCAGGGAACTGCGTATGTTAGAAACACTAGTGCCTGGGGTGTCCCCTCGAACCAATTAAATCAGTGTCTGGGTGGGGCCTGGGAAGCCATCTCTAAGTTGCCCTGTAGAGGCTGCTGCTGGGTTGGTGGGCTCCTAGATGGTTATTTCACTTTTTTTTTTTTTTTCATAAAGTCTCACTCTGTCACCCAGGCTGAAGGGCAGTGGTGCCATCTTGGGCTCACTGCAACCTCCGCCTCCTGGTTCAAGCAATTCTTCTGCCTCAGCCTCTCAAGTAGCTACAACTACAGGTGTGTGCCACTACACCCAGCTAATTTTTTGTGTTTTTGGTAGAGACAGCGTTTTACCGGATCAGCCAGGACGGTCTTGAGCTCCTGACCTCGTGATCCACGATCCACCTGCCTGGGCCTCCCAAAGTGCTGGGATTACAGGCGTGAGCCACCGTGCCTGGCCTAGATGGATATTTTAAAAATTGTTTAAATCTATTTGCTAAGAGACTGGCTAATTTTTGTGTTTTTGGTAGACAGGGTTTTGCCATGTTGCCCAGGCTGGTCTCAAACTCCTGGGCTCAAGTGATCTGCTCACCTTAGCCTTCTAAAGTGCTGGGATTACAGCAGTGAGCCACTGTGCCTGACCCCGAGTATTCTCATAGGTGCTTTCTGTGATGAGGCACTGGGAGCCTGGTGCCCTGGAGATTGGGGGTGGTTATTGTGCCTGCCCTTTGTTTCCTACAGGTCCAACTACAGCCTCCTCAGCCAGCCCCTTCCTAAGCCTGGGGCTGGCAGGAGACAAAGACCAGGGACAGGGCCTGGGACAGACTCCACTCAGGACTTTGCCCTTCTGCTCCCAGCTTTGCGGCTCCAAGGCTCAGCGGGTTGGACTTCTGGGACGTGTCTCCACCTCAGCTTCTCAAAGCCTGGTCCAGTTGGAGGGAAATGTGGACAACAGGGAGGAGGAGGTGAGGCTGCCCATGTCCAGGGCCCCAGGCCGTCTCCAGGCTTCCGTGTCCCATGAGGAAAGTGAGTGGTGGCTGGGTCCCAGCTCGGCTCACTGGGTCATGGCCCCCATTGCCTCAAGAAAGGAGAGGGGTCTGGGCATATAGATTTCAGAAGTCAGGACTGGGCCCAGGGACTCACACCTACAATCCCAGCCCTTTGGGAGGCCAAGACAGGAGAATCGCTTGAGCTCAGGGGTTCGAGACCAGCCTGGGCAACACAGTGAGACTCCCATCTCTACTTAAAGCCTGGTGCAGTGGGGTGCTCCTGTGTCCCAGCTGCTGGGAGCAAGTGTGATGGTGCCACTGCACTCCTGCCTCAGTGACAGTAAGACCCTGTCTCCAAAAAAGGCTCAGGAAACCCTGTCAGGACTGCATGGCATCCCTCACTGACAGCCATGTCAGGTGCGGCGGCTGGGAAGGGTACAGAAGAGAGGGCTTCAGGTGGCTCAGCAGGTTGACTGAGGTGGTGCAGCTCCAGGTTCTCAAGTCCTAGGGCTTTGAGGCTTGGCCTGGGGCAGTAGGGAGCTACAGAAAGCGGTGGAGGAGGAGGCCGCTGGAAACATCAGGGTGCCCCAGCAGGTCCCCTTCTGGCTCCAGGGGGCAGAGGAGAGAGTGTGGTGCTGCGGGACATGTGCCCACAGGCGGTCAGCAGAGGTGGAGCTCCTGTTCCAGGATGACAGGCAGCCCTTCCGCCCCTGGGATGCCTGACCTTTCCGGCTGCCAGCCACAGCCTCCTACTGGCTGCGTACGGCTGCCAGGGGCACCTGCGGGGCCATGTGGAGGTGAGAGGGCCTGGACTGGGACACAGGGAAGGGGTTACCATTCTCTCTCTGGGCAGAAGGCAGTGTCAGGAACCCCAAGCTCTTTGGGCCATCTGTGCCCAGAAAAACAGAGCACATGGCCCCAGGATGAGGCCTGCATCTGCTGCTGGCACCGAAACCTTTTGTCTATTTCATTCCTATGCTGCCCCGAGGTAGCCCCAACCTCTTCTCTGTCCTAACAGTCCAGGATTGCAGCAGTTGGCTCCCAGGTGCAAGCTTGGCTAGAAAAGAAGGTTCCAGCACCTGGTGGGTAGCAGAGGGGGGAAGGATTGGGTGGAGAGCTCCCCCTCTGGCCTGGCTTGTAGCCCCCACTTGCCAGTCATCCCACCCTGGGCAAGAGGGTCTGGGGCTCTCTCTGCCCTGGACCTCACCCTGATTCTGCCTTGGCTTCCCTGCATAGGTACAGCCAGCAGGCACCCTGGATGGCATGGCAGGCCTCCTCCTTCAGCTGTCCCAGGCAGGGCTAGAGGCGGTGCAGGCAAGTGGCTGGGCTGTCACCACCTTGTGGGGCTAGAGCCAGGCCAGGCAGGCACGGACTCAGCACCTGCCTCTTTAAATGGACTGGCTGCAGGTGGGGCTGGAGCAGGTGTGGAATGAGCTGCAATGTGAGTGTGGGAGGGAGGGCTCAACCCTGCACCAAAATCCACGCCCAGTCCGGGGCCCTAAGCCTTCACATTGGCCTATGGCATTGTTTCAATCAGAATGGTGGCCTTGCTTCCCGCCAGCCTGCAGCCCAGCTGTGTTGAGACCCCCGCCTTACTTCTTACGGACCTACAGTCTTGGGTTTTTTGCTGTTGTTTTTTAACAGAGTCTTGCTCTGTTGCCCAAGCTGGAGTGCTGTGACACGAATTTGGCTCACTGCAACCTCCGCCTCCCAAGTTCAAGCAATTACTGTCACAGCCTTCCAAGTAGCTGGGACTACAGGTGAGTGCCACCACGCCCAGCCAATTTTTCTATTTTTAGTAGAGATGGGGTTTCACCATATTGGCCAGGATGGTCTTGATCTCTTGACCTTGTGATCCGCCTGCCTCAGCCTCCCAAAGTGCTGGGATTACATGTGTCAGCCACCGTGCCTGGCCCAACCTTTTTTTCCACGGTCTGCTGTCTTATTCTTACAGGGTCTCCAAGCTAATATCCCTTATGCCTGCTGCCTAGGTTTCTCCAGTCTTCTGCCTGCTTTCTTTTGAGTGGACAGCCTTGTTTCTGTGAAGCTCACTGCCACAGGGTCTCTTTCTGGTTCCACGACGAGCTCTCTGTGGCCTTGTGATCGTTAAACGCTCACAGTTACTGCCCTCCTGGCAGGACTAAGAACTTCTGGCCTCTCCACCATCCAGGACTAATGCCCAGCCCAGTGCAGAGCCCCCAAGACCCTGCCCAGTGCCAGGGTGGGCGTACCTCTGACTGGCTATTGAATGTCACCTCCATAGCCTCTCTGCTGTGCCAGAGTCCTATGGCCACCCACAGGGCAGTGAATTTGAGAGTGCTCCACAATTCGGCACACTGTGCTGTTTACAGCTGTCACTGACTACAGTGAGAGGAGGCAGGAGTGTTTCCACAGGGAAGGGGGCTGGGGCGGAGTCCAGGGGGAACCAGGGCCAGCACCTAGTGTCCTCTCCCAGTCCCAGCGCCTTCACATGGGAGGCACTTGGCTGTCCCAGCACTATGTGACCCAGGGTGTTTAGTGGGGCTGCCCCATTGGCAGGTGCTGCTTGGCGCAGACCACACTGTCAGACTCCTAGGAGGCAAGCAGGGGTTCAGCATAAACCACATTTGTGCACACAGTTCAGGCGCAGAGAGCCTTGTATCCCTTCTAGGAGTGGTGGGAACCCTCCCCCAATCCAAGTTCCCAGACAAGCTATGAGCAGGCCATGCAGAGGTGGCTCGCGTCTGCTGTGACAACTCACCCGCAATCTCCAGTGCCTGTTGCTCTATTCCTTTTCCCCCACTCCCCAACCATCTTTACCCCAGGAAGAGGCCCTGTTTCCTTGAGGCCCAAGCTGGGCCTCTGACCTGCCCAGAGGCCTCATGGTGGGTGTTGGCTTCGAGCTGCAGGGCCCCTGGCCACACTGAAGGACTCCTACCTGGAGGTGACGCTGCGGCCCCTGAAGGCCGTAGTGGGAGCAGGCAGAGGAGGCCATGTGGCAGCTGCAGACCTGGGTGCCCGGGATGCCAGGCATCAGGGGTGCCAGGCCCATCAGGGTGGCCCTGGGGCCATGAAACGCACCCTGGAGCTGGTGAGTGAGAGCAAGGATGGGGCGTGTCTGGCAGCTGAGGACGACCAGGACAGCTCTCACTATCCCCTCCCTCTCCAGGTGGCCCACCAGATACTGTCCTGGGCTGAGGCCACGTTCTCACGGGCACAGAAGAGGCCCTGCAAACCCCTGCTGGACCTGTATGGCCTCACAGCCAGGTAACACAGGGTTGGGAGTGGCGCATCCAGCGTTCCTGCCACATATTAGGCACAATGCTGAATGCTTTGACACACACTGACTCCTCTGACCACCCTGCACAGAGGCTTCTTCACTCCCCATTTCACAGAAGAGGAAGCTGAGGTTCCTTCCTCACTCCGTAGAGACCTCGTGAGCATGGTTCCAGTGCAGGCAAGATTTTAGGAGCTGCTGCAGAGGAGCGCAGTGGGCAAGGCTGACCCCTGCCTTCAGGAAATTCAGTTTTACTCAGACAGACATGAAGCCCAAGAAATAATCTACAGCAGAGTGTGCACAGCTCCCTGCAGAGAGCCTGAGAGTCACCTCTTAAGCAGGCCATTCCGCTGTCACATTTTCTTTTGTTTTATCATTTTTTTTTTTTTTTTTTTTTTTTTTTTTTGCTCTGTAGCCCAGGCTGGAATGCAGTGGTGTAATCTCAGCTCATTGCAACCTACGCCTCCTGAGTTCCAACGATTCTCCTGCCTCATCCTTCTGAGTTGCTGGGACTACAGGTATGTACACCACCGCACCTGGCTGTTTTTCAGTTTTTAGTAGAGGCAGGGTTTTGTCACTACAGGCTGGTCTCAAACTCCCGACCTTAGGTAATGCACCCTCCCTTGCCCTTTCAAAGTGTTGGGATTACAGGCATGAGCCACCACTCCCAGCCTGTTTTGTAATCTTTTAAGTACACAAATCCCTTCTTTCTTGCAGGCCCTGCAGAAGCCGGCTACAGGCTGGGTGTGGCCCACTGCTCAACATTTACCACCACTGAGCCATACCTTAGGTGGCAAATGCTGGAGATGGAACATTGGTGAGACGGTGGGATGGGGATCCTATGGTGTGGCCATGGCCAGCTTTGAGAAGGTACAGTTCAAGCAAGAGCCATGGGGCCAGCGTGGGAAGAGAGCTCCAGGTGGGGGCACCTCTGCACAGAGGCGTGGGAGAGGGATGTGCCTGGCCTGTTGGTTTTTGAGATGGAGTCTCATTTGCTGTCACCCAGGCTGGAGTGCTGTGGTGTGATCTCAGCTCACTGCAACCTCTGTCTCTCAAATTCAAGTGATTCTCCTGCCTCAGCCTCCCAAGTGGCTAGGATTACAGGCATGTGCCACCATATGTGGCTAATGTTCGTATTTTTAGTAGAGTCAGGGTTTCACCATATTAGCCAGGCTGGTCTCAGACTCCTGGGCTCCAGAGACTTGGCCTCCCAAAGTGCTGGGATTACGGGCAAGAGCCACCATGCCTGGCCTGTTTTAATAGCAAGCTGGTTGGGCTGAAGCAGAATGTGAGCAAGGGAGAGTGGATGTAACTGGGAGGGATTGGGAGGTCCCGAGGCTGAAGGGTAGCAGGGAGGACTCTGGCTTCTGCTCTACCTAGGAAGGACATGATCAGCCTTTCACTTCAAAAGGCCCCTTTGGTTCCTGGGTTGAAAACACAGTGGTGGTAGATGGAAGTGGGGAACCAAGTCTAGAGCAGGGGCCTGGGGACCCAGTATCCTTTTCCCTCCCAGGCATGAGACCCACCAGGAACCGGGCTCCAGGAAGGGAGGCAGCCCCCTTCTTCCATGCTGGTGGCCTCACAGAGCATTTGGACTCCAGCTCTGCCTCTAACTGGGATTCCTCTGCATCGGCTCTGTGTGCCTCAGTTTCCCCAGCTGTAGAATAGGGACTAGACCCACATCATGGGGAAAAGGCTCCATGTAAAACAAGTTCCTGCTCCTGCCGCCTGCCTTGCGGTCAGAATGTAGGCTGAGGAAGGGAAGAGCTCCCAGGGCAGGGCTTTGGCTTGCCTGAAGAATCACCTGCCTGGTTATTTGCTTACCTGGTGAGTGGGATCTGGTGAGGGTGCCAAAAAATGGATTTAGCTGGCAGGGAGAGAGTTCAGGCTGCTTTGTGCCCCCAGCTGCAGGGCTTCTGGGCTCCCTAGAAGGTAAGTGAGTCCACCTGCCCCTGCACCCCCTCCACCAGCCCATCAACAACAGAGTGAGCAGTGTTCCTCAACCCACTCCACCCACACATGAGCTGAGATCTCCCAGATCATTCAGATCTCCCAGGCTTGACACTACTCTACATATTGAGAAAGTTCCAGTCCTCCCCTCAACTGTAGACACTTTCTAGACCTGTTAGTCAGGCACAGTGGCTCATGCCTGTAATCCCAGCACTTTGGGCAGATCACGTGAGATCGGGAGTTCGAGACCAGCCTGGCCAACATGGTGAAACCCTGACTCTACTAAAAATAAAAAAATTAGCCAGGCATGGCAGTGAGTGCATATAGTTCCAGCTACTCTGGAGGCTGAGACAGGAGAATCACTTAAACCCAGGAGGCAGAGGTCGCAGTGTCAAGATAGTAACACTGTACTCGAGCCTGCAAGGGCACGTACTGTGGGGGCACAGGGAAGCCTGTAGAGGCTCGTGGCATCACAGTGCCAGGCCCAGAGCTTACTGGACTTCCCAAGGTCCTATGGGACTCGGGCTGAGGCTACACATCCTGCTTTTGTCCAGAACATAAGGCCTGGCCCAACAGAGGAGTACCATGGGTGGTTTAGGGCTTCAGGCCAGCTCTCTCCCTGTGGGCTCTGCTGGAACAGAAGGCAGACCTCCCATTACAGCTGGAAGGGCACTAATTGAGTTCAGATTCGCAGGTCAGGGGTGATCTGGTGCTGTGATGAGCGGCTCTGGGCTCCTGCGGAGCTTGCGTGTGGCTCAGGTGAGTCGGCTAACCTCTGTGGACTTGGATTCCTCCACTGTGAAATGCAGGTAACCATGTGGCTCGCTCACATGGGTAAGAGGCATGTACGGTTCTTAATGCATGAGGGAGCCCCTCATGTCCATGGGGGAGCCACAGTACCCAGGCCTGGCAAAGAGCGGTTTATCTGTGTGCGACTCACATGGAGGCCTAGGGCTCCCTAGAAGCATGGATGCAGTCATGTCTAAGCAGCACGCTGATGCTGCAGAAAACAGCCTGGTCTTCAAGTTCTGTGTGTGTGACCATGGGCTTCTCTGTGCCCCTCAGT